CGCACAGCTAACCACCTCTCCTCTTCAAGAACTTCGGGCAGGGATTGAGGGATTGCTTTTCCTTCTGGGGCTACTGGAGGGCGCGGGGGACTGCGCAGGGGTCCCTGGCCGGGGCCAGCTCACGCCAGGACGCTCAGTCCCCGCGGACCCGGCGCGCCCGGCGGAGGCGCTGCGAGCTGCGTGCGTTTTCGCAGCTAACTCACTGAGTTTTGGCCCGCGGAGTTCGTTTGCCTCCTCCCTCTTTCCTCTCCAGTGAATCACAGAACGGTGCTTTCTGCCTTAGCTCCCCCGGGAAGAGGGGGAGGAGGCACCGGCTTGTGGAGAGGCTCGATCAGTCCTTCTTTTCCGGGAGGAGGATGGCCAAGGGAGGGGACGCTTTGCCAGAAGGAGAGCTGCCGCTGCCAGAGGCTTACGGGACCCAGGGGGATGCCCGGGGGCCACCGCTTCGCGAATGTCGCCCTCCGCCCTCCGCGGACCCCGGCGGGGAAAGGACGCCGGCGCGAAGCTGGAAGGGGAAGCGAGTGCGTCACTTCGTGGGTCTGTTGATGAAGAGCCCTGTCGCCCATCCCGAAAGCTGCGCTTGCAAACTTTCCCCAGTTTACGGAGAAAGAGAGCGAAAGAAAGAGGAGAAACAACACCCTGCGTGGCAGACTCTTTCCTTTCCCGTCTTCCTCTTCAGATTTTCCTTAACTGGTTACTTTCCCCTCTGACACCCCCACCCCCTTACTCCTTTGTCCCGCCTCCCTTTTTCTTCTTTCTTTTTCTTTTTATCTTTTCGTTTTCCTCCCTCCCTCCCTCCCTCCCTTCCTTCCTTCCTTCTTTCCTTCCTTCTTTCCTTTCTTTCTTTTGGTAAGGGTCATGACATGACAGCTTTTTAAGTTGAACATCCTGTTCCAATAGCTGGCTTGCTGGCTTTTACAGCTTGATTTCTTCCTTAGCTTTCTTCTAAGTGAAGATACTGAAATTGCCCCGTTTCCTCCTGCCTCTCCCAGACTAACCAAGAGGGTGTCTCCAGCCAATGGGAAGGAAGAGGGCTTCTACAGTTCACCTTCCACACCGAGGCCAGTCTGCACTCCTGCCTGAAGACACCAGCATTTCCCAAACAGTAATCCAGTAATTTGGGAATTTGGGGAATCTTTTTCTCTCTTCTTTTGCTTTTACTGCCCCTCCTTCCCCCCTCCCTTCACTCCTTCCTTTCCTTCCTTTTTTCTCTCTCTTTCTACAGCCATTGTGAAAGCCTGTCATGATTGTAAAAGTACACCTGCTTTTACAAGAATCATAGAGTATTAAAGCCCTGCTCAAAGGCAGAAAAGGGATTTGTAGTACAATATCTCTTTTGGAAGAGACGATCCATGCCAAAAGCCACTGAAGTATTTGTTTCCTTGCCACACGTTTACTCGACAGTCATGTACTGAATACCTACATGGGCTGGTATGTCCCACATTCTCTCACTGTTCTCGTATACTTACACACACATGTACACATGTCCTCTATGTAGGATAATTCCAGTACCCCCAGGGATACCAAAATCCAGGGATGCTCTAGTAAAATGGCTCAGTATTTGCATATAACCTACACACATATCTGCTTATACTTTAAATCATCTACAGATTACTTATAATACCTAATACAATGTAAGTGCTATGTAAATAGTTGTTATATCATTTTATTTTTATTTGTATTAGTTTTATTGTTGTTTTGTTAACTTTTTTTTCTCCAGTATTTGTGATCCACAGTTGGTTGAATCCCAGGATGTGAAACCTGTGAATACAGAGATAACCACATATGCTTTAGAGTATTTATACGGTTCTTTACATACTTTATGACTTTTCCTTCCACTCCAGCTTTAAAAGGTATTCTTCCATTCAACAAATATTTGAGGAGCTGAGCCAAGGCTGGAGGCTGAGAATGTACTGGTGAACTAAATTCCTCTCTTGTGGTGAGGAAGAAAGATTCTGATCAACAAATCATCCCAATACACCAACATTTAACTTATGATATAAACATCCTGTAAAAAAGAGCACAATTTAAAGACATTTTAAAACAAACCTGACTTAGACTGTCTATCTGTGGTTATTAGATGGTTCAGGGAAGTTACCTTTAAACTAACAGGAGGTTACTTTGTCATCTCCTTTTTTGCAGACTTAGAAATCTGACTTCCAAGCCCATGCTTTTTAGAAGGTACTCTTCCTAAAAATGGGCCTTAAAAGCTTTGCCAGCCACAACGCACAGAGAGATTATAGCTGTCAGAGTTAGAATTCTAATCCCCACACGAGGAGGGGAGATATTCTGTGCTCAGGAGAGAAGTACTTAACCCTGGCCTTTTTGTTCTTATTAACTCTGGTCTTAAATGTTTATTTCTGAAGTAAGCAAGACCTAAGAAAGACCAAGCACTACTTACAATAAGTAGTAAGAGCCAAGAAACCATAACAGCTCACGGTTGACCAAATGAGATGTGACTCAAAGTGGAAAATCAAAGTCAGCTGGGTGCCCTACCCACAGCAGGTAAGGGTTATTTAACATTCCTAAGGAAGACATGGAGAATAAAATCAGAGGCTGCTGAATGAATGCCCTGGGCTGTACAGATGCTGGTATTATAAATACAAGATTGGGTTTCATGTACTCTACACAATAGCGTTAGAATCCTCACAAAGTCCCAAGTTAAAACTTCTCTATCCCATATGTTATTAGAACTTGTTAGTTCTTTCCTGATTTTAGAATCAACATTTTGTTGTTCAGGCATACAGAATCCCATCTTAGGTATATTTCACCTTGTATCTGCTCATATTACAACCAGACCTGTCTATTTTTGAATGGTTTTATCAAATATGAAACTTTAAGTACTGTTTGATTTAGTAAAAAGTTGAAAAAAATAGAATTGCTTAAAAATGAAATTAGAATGCACTAAGTCTTCAGGTGAGGCTTAACCTGGACGCGAGACTGAAGCTATCGGTTAAAATATGATCAAAATTTGGGAAAGAGAAGAGAAGGCAAAGGAAGGACACTTTAGGTAAGAAAAGAGAAAACCAACCAGCCAAAGACATGCTTGGATTGAAAGATTATAGGAAGTAATGTTAGAAAGTTCAGGTAACCCTAGCTATTGAGGAGCTTTGGAAAAGTATAAAGATCTGGAACTTGATTCTGGAGGCTTCAGGAGTGATAAAGTCCTTTGATAAAAGATTTTAATGAAGTCATCTGTGGGATGGATTTATAGGGATAAAAGTTACAAATGAGCCGCTTTAAAACTGCTTTCGTCCATCACACTTCAAAGAATTGTGATTTTACTCCAAGAGTACTGAATCTATTAACATCTTTTGGTGTTTCATTATAGCCAGGATGAAAATATATAGAAAAAGAAATCAAGGACATTTTCAGGGAGAGACACACCACTCTCACAGCTTGTGAAATATGTACAGTGACATATTCCTTAAAGAACTATGTGTCATTATGTTGTCTGATGTGGCAGAGGATGCATTAAAATCTTTAATAAATTAAGAAGAAGAAATAGACAAAAGAATAAGAGACCAAGATAGGACCTTGTTTGGTTGGATAATGGAAGAAGAAAGAAAGAATAGGGTAAATTGGGAGGATGATCACCACTAGAAAAGGATAATTCAACTGCAGTACTCAGGATAGGGTGAAGCAAGGTTTTGGATGCAGAGGGCAGTGAAGCAGTCAGTATGGGGAGCCCATTGGTGAATACAGAAGCTAAGAAAATCATGAACAACTACCGTGTTTCACCCCCAAATAAGACCTACCCCCAAAATAAGCCCTAGCAGGATTTCTATGCATTTGTTAAATATAAGCCCTACCCCAATAATAAGACCTAGTAATGGGCATGGCCATGCAGCATATCTGCATAGCCATGCTATGCATTTCAGCGCTGAGTGGTAAGGAAGACTGAAATACCTTGTACCTGCCACAGCTCCTTTCCCCGAGCCATTTGCACCTGCGCAGGTGCGTGTGGGGTAATTGCAGTTGCAGGCATCCTATTGCACATGTGGGAATGGCTATGAGAAAGAAGTTCATGCATCACTAGCACCAGTCCCACCAACAAAGTTGGCTCCCCCTGTCAGGTTCCAGAAGAAGATACAAATACAGTTAAATATTTAACTGTATTTGAATAATGTAGATTGTTGTATTATACTCAATAAAAATAAGACATCCCCTGAAAATAAGTCCTAGTGTGTCTTCTTGAGAAAAAATAAATATAAGACAGTGTCTTATTTTGGGGGAAACACAGTAGTAAAACAAATAGTTGAACAGTGTTTCTTTGAAACACCCTTGTTAATTCTCACCATGACATGACATTTCCCACAGCCCTACAGTATGCATGGACTGGACAGAATTGCTCTAGCTTTCAAATTATATACACTTAAAAAAAGTTTTAAAAGGATGGCTAGTAAGATAGCATCCCTGCCACACTAGTCCTTTTTCTTCTGATATTTGTTTTCAATTAAACATGTACTCTGATGCTTAAAAGATACAGCTAATTTTTAAATGTAGGTTTAAAAAAATTTTGAAAACAGTCTACCCAGAGATTTACAGAGTATTAAAAAGATTTAAAACCCAATGGCTGCTTGGTTGGGTTTATAAGCACATTAAATACTTAAAAATGAAGGAATGTCACTAATTTTAAACTAGCATACAAATAGTCTAAAACAGATGTTTGTCCTAATACAATCATCTTGATGTGGACCCCATATAATAAACTCCTTGTTAAGCATCATTAACTCTTTATTAGGCTATGGAATTAAGGCTGATTTGAGCTATTAAATCATAACAGCAATAGGAGCTTCTTGAGTAAGACAAAGTAGGATGGTTAACTAGCTGCTTAGTAATTGTTGAGTTGAGGTTGCTTCTTTTTATTGGTAAGTCCCTGTTGAATACTAACTATAATAATTTATAAGAAAGAGATTAATGATGTGGAAGACACTAACGTTTCAACTGTGTCTAGTGTAGCAAAATTTTTAACATTAGAAATTTGGAAAACTGTCAAAGAAGAGATGTTTCTTTTATTTAATAAACATCTTTCTTTGAAAGGAATATTTTAAACAAAATTTTTATAATGGGAAAAGCTGATAATTTCAAAAGTATCCTATTGCTTAAATTATAAATCAAATTCTACATTTATCTGCACAGCATTTTTCTGTTAGGGATATCAATTTGTGAACCTGGCTTCCCACTTGAATTCCTTAAGGATCTTTTTTTAATAAAAGAAATTTAGCTCTACCTAAGCCCTAAATCAAAATATCCACAGTCTGGGAATATTTATTTTACAGAAAGTTTTTCGGGTGGTTATGTGTATATTGAGTTTTGAAAACCACTGATTTAGAATCTAAAACATCCAAAAGTTTTAATGGAATTGCTTAATGAGTAAGGTTGAGGTCATTTACCAAATGCAATATGGGAAACAGCTGAAACACAAATGGCTAAGTCTACAGTTAAAACATCTGAGGGCTGAGCACTTAATTTCTGTCAGATGTAGGAAGAAGCAGAGATGAGATATGGCTAAGTCACCAGGATCAAGAAGTGACGGGACATGTATTAAGCCTAGGTGGGTGGATGCAAAGGCAACAGTCTGCACAGGCAGTGTTGGGATTTAGATACAGTCAAACAAAAGATGAGGGGACAAGCTAACATCTGAACCCAGTTCCTCTGTAGTGAAATTATGGGCAAGGTTCCTGGACTTCACCCTGTGGCATGGGCCAGAGGTAGGAGGCACAGACCTCTTAAGATTGAAGTAGGCTAATGTCCTGTCTCAACTGGGCCAGACAGATGTGGATTCCAGGGTCAAATCTAGTCTGTAAGTACTTGATGTGGCTTCCAGGAAGTGGTGAAAATCATGTGAATTGGTAAGATATTCAGTAGTAAAATCAATAGCAGTTGGTAATTGGACAATAAGAATAAGGAAAGAAGAAATGGTTATACTGAGCTTCTGGCTTGAGGTAACTGACTCAGGAATGGTGCCATTTGTAACGGTAGCAGTCATGAAGGACTAGCAGGTGTGGGGAATAGATGGAAAAGCTTTATTTGATGCTGTTGAATGAGAGATCTGTGAAGTATCCAGGGGAGGAGTGGAGTAGGCAGGTGAGTATATGGATCTGGACCTCAGGGAAGAGGGCAAGACAAAAAATCTCATTGGTCTTTACAGGGTAGGTAGAATTTCCTAGGGAAGGATGGAGAATGAGGAGTAAGAAACAGGTTCAGGGTAAAACTCTTTAAGGATAAAGGAGATGAAATGGGATCCACAAGGAGACTGAGATTAAATTGTGAGATAAATGTAACTGCAAAACAGCAACATTTATTAAGCATTACTGGCATGATGTCAGCACGGTGCTAAGCAATTTTATGTGAAATATCTTGGTGTTCTTCACACCCGCCCCATGCAGGTGGGTACATGTGAGGAAAATAACGTTGAGTTATAGCAGGTGGCTGGATAACAGGGTGGGGAGCAAGAAAAGAATCGCAAAGGAGCAGGAAATCGAATAGCTGATGGCCAGGAACCCAGCACACCAGGAAGTGAGAGAGGTCCACAGCTAAGAGAGGTAAAGAGGACCAGTGGCCTACAGCACATGGCAGGCCTTTGTCAGGATAAGGTCTCTGGGAATGGCTTGGTAATGTTTTATTTCTTCTGTGAGTTCACTGGCATTGACAAAGCTAGAGCTTGAGGGTGTTCAAGTACTTATGAATGAAGTGGCCTTAAAAGAAAAGCCTGACACCTATAAAATAATCTATAAGAAAGAACTGATAATTGCTAAATAATATAAATGTTAGAATAAACTAGTTGAGACATGTTGAGTTTTTTTATAAAGAACAGTATACATTTATATTGGGAGATTAAAAAACCAAAGAAATGTGTTTGAATAAATAATTTATTTTTCAAATCTAAAGACTACATATTAGAAAGATGGTTGAAAGCATAGACTATAGAGCAGTGTTTTTCAAACTTTTTTTTATCTCACAGCACTCTTGAACCTATTAAATTCGGGTTTCAGGCAATGTTATTCCAGTTAAATTTCTGCGACACACTTAAATTATGTTGATCAAAAAAAAAAGAGTAAAGAATTTTTTTTTAATTCACTGTGCTTTAAACTTCTTTCAAAAATAATTTAATTAATGATCTTTAAAAATGTTCACTGCACACCTAAGATCTTCTTACGGCATGACACAGGGGTTGAAAATCACTGATGCAGAGCCACACTACCCAGGTGCTAGCTAACCAATTACTCTCTCTTTTATTTTTCTCACCTGTAAAATAGGAATAACAGCAGTATCTACTTTGTAGTATGGCATATTAGTTAGGTCCCGCCAACCCATGCTGCTTAACAAACTACTCTAAAACTCAGTGGCACAGAAATGCAACAATGTATCCTTATAAATCTGAGGAATGGGCCATGTGCTCTTGGAATCAGAGAGATAGACACACATCTTTCTCATGACAATGGCCGAAGCCCAAGAGAGCCAACCCAACAAAGGAAGCACACACATCAAAACTTAGCCTATCTGCTTACATTTCATGGCCCAATGCAAATTGTATCACCAAGCCCAGAGACCAGAAGTAAGAAATACGTTCCTCCTCCCAGGATGAGGACATGACAAACCTGTGGATACATGAAGGAGTGAGGAATTGTGGCCTATAATTAAATCTATCACAATTGTTTTGAGAACTAAATGAGTTAATGTTTGAAAAGTACATAGAACAGTGCTAGGGCCATTGTAAGTATTATTAATGTTTGTTTTAATTTGTTATTCCAATATAATTATTCTGAAATGAATTTACAGCTTAACGTCATGTAAATCAAAACCTCAATCTGAGGATGATGATAATTTAGAACTCAACATATGGCGTTTTCAAAAAGAAGGGTAACAAGAAATCTGCAACTTTGCCATATAGTAGAACATGATATTTTACGGCAATACCAAGTGTTGGTTAATGAAACAAAAGAGAGGCCAAAAATGGATCTGATGCTATGAGAAAATAACATATGAAAATAAACTTTTCAAAATGAAAGAAAAGGTAAACATTCAGAAAGAGGAACATAACATTTGGATAATTACGTAACTGCACTAAAAAAAATAATCCGCTTCTCATGCCAGAAGAAAAACAAATCTAGTTGTAATTGGAGTGCTAAATGAGAAAAAAATCTAAAGAAATCCCAACAGAAAATTTAATTGACAGGTACATGGTAAAACTATTCTATTTTTATTTGTTAAATGATACAGACATTTCAATAGTGCATGATTGATTATGGAATATATTTAGCAGACTATTAAATCAGAAGTCTTAACTAAAGTGCCATGTTTTAAAACTGAGATTTTTCCAAAGAAGTGGGCCAGAACAAGATGCCAACTTTCAAAGGAGAGTATTAAAAATCAGTTGGGCAACTCTTAAAATTCTTACTTATATCAAGATAATAAAAGGGTCAGCGTATGTAGAGATTGGAGAGGATTTGGGAAGAGATATTTTAAAGAATATGTTGGTGTACCCCAAATACACCCACACCTGCTTGCATGGCCTGAGAGGGGAGGTCAGATCCCTGAAATTCAAGTGGTCTGGTGTCTGGTCTTTGCCTAAGAAAGTTCAGGATAGGCTGCTGATGAACCACAGGCAAGGAGGTTACACAAACTTGCTGGCTCACCAATGATTAAGTGTTTCCTGATAACCAGGAATGGGCAATGTGAGAAAGAAAACTGACCCAGGATCATCTTCGGTCTGGT